ACCCCCCCCCACCCCACCCCCCCCCACCCCACCCCAGATCGAGACCATTGGCAAGAAAGTAACTACAGCCCGCATTCCTTTCACCCCCCCGGCTGGTATTCCCAGAATCCTCCTCAACGAGCCCCCAGCTAAGAAGGCCAAAATCTGATTGTCTTCCCCGTGGGCGGCTGCTGCCCTAAAGTGTCACGTCTCTCCCATCAGCATTAGCAAGAGCCTCGCCCTCCCTTACTCCTCCTCGGTCTCCCCGGCGCAGGATGGGCCGGTCAGGGCCTGTTCTGCGAGTCTCCGGGCCCCCCCTTGCACAGCCTACCTCTCCCTCTTCACCAGCTCGTTCAGTCTGCCAGCGGGCTAAGGCGTGGACACTCAGCACAGTATTCCTGTGGCTGTGCCGCAGCCGCGTCTGGGAAGCTCATTCCTGTCCTTCTCTCCCCCAAACACACTCTCTGTGCACCAAGGACCATGAACAAACAGTCACCCTGTGTGGTTTTGTTTATGAAGCCAAATGTTATTCAATTGTGAACAAACAGTCGCCCGGCTTGTTTTGTCCAAAACGATTTGTACGCTTTTAATTTTTTTTAAAAATGATTTTAGAGTAGTTTTTAAAATGATCCTACTCCTGTTGTGCAGGACATGTCGATTTTCATACGATGCCACTAATCCTGTTTCTTGTGGAGTAAATAAAAACAGGCCGAAGTACGAAGACATTGGTGTGGTGACATTTCAGTGCTCGGTAGTCGTGTCTAATTTAGAAGCTGTACAGTGAAAAGATGGTCACATCCAGAAAGGTTGTGCATATTGGCTTCAGAGGAGTAATAAGGCAGCTTCTCACTTGCTGTAAAGCATTTGCCGTACACAATTCACTGCACGTGTGCATTACTGAAATCACAAAACATTCTTGCATTCTAGGACTTTCATTCACACCATTTATGCTAGCTGGTAGATTTCTCCATAGAAGAAAAGACCAAACACCTTGCTTTTCTTCATCAATTAGGTTTCATTTGCTAGTGTTGGTACCAGCCAAACTCGACAAACCCACTATAATAGTCAAACAGCATTGTTTGACCAACTGGTATCCGAATTACTTCATTCTCTCAGCCAATCAAATGAAAGCATTGTGATGACATCACACTGGAGGCAGGAACACGGCGAGAAGCCAGTTGAGGCTTTACCGCCTGCCTGAGTCACAGAAAGACACACAGGGGGGGAAGGCGGCCAGGCAGAAGACCCCGAAGCTGTAAAAACTACGCATGTTGGGGTCCTGCAGAAGCCTGGCCGCTATCCCAGCATGCACCACTCCATGTGTGGCATCCCTGCCCTTTGCATACACTTTCAGTCCACTGCACTCAGGTGACAATGCTCCTCCATTATCTTCCAGTGTTCATTTGGTATAAATACTACGATCTTAGGTCCCGTATCACACCTAACAAGGGTGTGCAATGGTTGCGATATTCCTTCTACATTCTTCAAAATAACATTTAGCCGAAGGTGACCTCGGGAAAAATCACGAAGACGGTGCACGTGCGGCAGCCACGTCAGTCTGACGCAGTCCTCCGTTTGTGAATCAGATTCTTCAGGAAGAATTCGCCTGAGGAGACAACCGTAGCAAGACTCTCCACAAGGCCATTGACATTTAGCAATGTGGTGCAACCTCCTCATTATGCATCGGAGAACAATTTCACACGTACATTGTTCCTCGAGTGTTTTTCAGTGAGAGCAGGTGTGTCTGGGGCTCACCTGCTTTGTACGAAGAGCGCACCAAAGGCCCACTGGCCGTGTACGTGAAACCCATCTCAACGCCCACCTTCTCCCAGTATGCAAACTTCTCTGGGGTCACATATTCCTCCACCTGGGACAATACAGAAACACACATATGAACACACTCCTCAAATCTGGCCCTTGATTTCAAATCCAGACTTTGCTCTCAGTTCTCTCAGGCACTGAGTTTAATAATTACTGATTCTGATTGGGTCTATAGGCCCTGGATTCCCCCCCCCCCCCCCCACAACTCTGAATACAAGACAAGGGGTTTCAAAAAATGGATGGATAGATGCATTCTGATTGGCCACAGAGGCTTCACACTTGGATCTCAAGTTAAGGAAGGCTGGAAAAATCAGTAGGGCTCGGCTCTTGAGGTCTGATTTGAATAGCCCTGCACTAACAAATTAAGTAAATATGCGCTACTCTTTTAGCTAAATGAATATCACTGGGCAGGTGGGTGAGGTCTGAGACATTAACCACACAATACAGACTGACAAACCCATGCGTACACAAGCTACAATACCCGACGTACCACCATAAATCCTACCTTCAGGTGCCGTTTCGTTGGCTGCATGTACTGTCCCAGGGTCAAACAGTCCACCCCCATCTCCCTCAGTTCTGATTGGACAAAACATGAAATGGTTTTCATATAGTTTAGATAAGTGATAAGTAGTAGGAGTGAGGATGAGAATAACATTACAGACAGATGTAAACGCTACCAGAAGCACTACCCAATCTATGAAAGACATCGTCTCGTGCTGTTGATGGACTGTGTGGAGTTACCAGACATGGTAGCTTGGATCTGATCATCGGTCTCCCCCAAACCCAGCATGATGGAGGTCTTCGTCACCAATGAGGGCTTCACCGCTTTGGCGTGTCGCAAGACGCTCAGGGATTGGTCAAAATTGGCTCGGGGGTCTCGCACATGCCTGTGGTCATGGACAGGAAGTGCCGGCCAATCAAAACATGGACTGGAAACACAGCGCCCAATCAGATACCGCCCTGCACTCCAATCTAACCGAATTATAGGAGCAGTGCTGTGCAACAGCCTTTTACATAACCAACGATGTAACACTTTCTGCCATCTCCTGGACCGATGTGGTATTGCAACCATCAGACAAAGAGCAGTGAATCTTGTGTCCCTCCCCTTTTCTTTTTTCTGGAAGTTTCACTTTTCAGCTATGGATTGTCTCTGCAGACATCGCGGCTAGCGCCCTCTTCTGGATGCACTGCCAAAGTGTAAATGTGTGAGGAAAAACAACCCACCAATCAAAAAAGCCCCAGCCTTTCAGATATTTGCTCTCTCTATAAATACACTCAGTAACAAAAAAAGTTAAACACCCAGAAGTGATGGTCTGATTTGGATGTAATTTGGTGCATGTGCAGACCAGCAATGGGTATATAAACGATTCCATTTGCAAGGACCTGGCACGTCTAGTCACCAGACACAGAGGATGCCTTGTAGACGCATTAGACAGCATTACCAGCACTTGACAGAGTTTGATAGGGGTTGCATGAGGCCTGGTGATCGTATCGTGCAAATGCCCGGCATGAGGGGCATGCAGATGTGACAGTTGCCTGGATGTTGGAACCAATGGGCACATGAGGGCACCCACACACGTCGTGAAGGTTCCTGTCGCCCAAGACAGACCACACCAAAGGAGGATTGGCGTAGTGTGGGCCAAGCATCACAGAACCCCAGGACATCTGCACCTGACATCCGGACACAGGTATTGGACTCTCTACGACACCCCGTGTCATTCCACACTGCCTCGTCGACTGGCATCAGCCGGACTACGGGTTCACCATCCTATGCGTAGGCTGCCGTTAACACCAGCGCAGAGACAGCTGCGTTTGGAGTGGTGCTGTAACCGGGAGGCATGGACTGATGACGAGTAGCGTCGCACCATGATGTTCGCGATGAATCTCAGTTCTGCATTACCCCAGATGACCACTGTGTGCGCGTATGGCGGCGCTGAGGGGAGAGGATCAATCCTGCTAATATTGTGGAGAGACACACCAGCGTTACTCCTGCCATCGTGGTGTGGGGAGCCATAGGGTATGACATCGTGGTGTGGGGAGCCACAGGGGATGACATCGTGGTGTGGGGAGCCACAGGGTATGACATCGTGGTGTGGGGAGCCACAGGGGATGACATCGTGGTGTGGGGAGCCACAGGGTATGACATCGTGGTGTGGGGAGCCACAGGGGATGACATCGT